CACTTTCGTCCAAATGAAAAGGGATATCGTAAACCCCTGGCTACTGAATCTGCAAGCTTCCCGACTCAGCCGTGCCTACGGCCATGCAAGTTGGGAACTACAGTTGGCGCAATTCCATGAACTGTGGCGCTTTCAGGGGCGAGGATGAAAAACGAGACGCCTATGGAGCTGACTAACTCAAGAGCATGACCGCTTTCTGCCTTGGGCAGGGAGAAGGAAAGAAATAAATGGGAATGGCAACACAAAGGCGGTGGCAGGGACCCGTAGTTCTGGTGAAACGGGCAAATACACGGGAGGAAAAGGTGCTGGCAAGTACATAAAAACAAAATGAAAACAAAAATATATCAGACTGCGTTTAGCGAATATCATAGGATTTGTCCTCTATTGGCTCTTACCCACAGCCGACACGCGAGATGAGACCTGCCGTGTGTTTCTGGGGCTGAAAAGGGGGGCCCCCTATACGCGCCTGCAGCTCGTTTTCCCTGCATTGTTCTTGTGTTGAATGCTTACTTTTCCTGTGTCATTCGAGCACTTTTGTACGCCTTAAGAAACGGCGATGAAGTTGATTGGTTCATCTTCGTGACCTAAACTCCGCGGGCACCCCCTACGGGCACTGTAACGAGTCCTCGACCTTATGCGAGGGCAGTCTTGAGCTGCAACAGAGAACAAGTACTTGAGATAAGCGTTTCCAACAGCAACTGACCTCATCTGCAGTCACCAGGCAAAATCTGGGACCGACAACCGACGGAGTGTGAACGGGGGAGAGTATGAGGCATCACACGAGTTGCGACGCAGCCTACGGCGACTCGTGCAACAACCTAACCCCGCAAGCAAGCAAACTCAAGCCGGTTTATTGGCGTTCACTGACACTATTGACAAGCGTTGAACACCTACTAGACCTTCCATAGCCAGCGGTAGAGCAAGTTGTAACGAGAGCCGCCGGTCTTATCCGAGGATGACCGTAGGCTGCAACGGAGTTGAAATACTTAAAACAATAGTTTCCAAAAATCAGATGGCCTCATTTACAGTCACAGGGACGCCTGGGGCTAGCGGCGCAAAGGCCTGGGGTCGGACGGAGAGGAGGCCGCCTCTAAGTTGGAACGTACCCTGCTGCAACTAGTGCTGCAAC